AAGCAAATGGTGAGGATCCTGGGGGGGCTGGATCCATGTAGTGTCCGGTTGGTGGAGGAGCGCAGGGCTGTCTTAGAAGCATCATGGGCTCCTAGGCAAAGTAATGCACTGGGGCCTGCCTCAATTTACGCACCTGCTCCCAAGTATAACTAGTTGATAGAATTACACGTATATGTACAGTATTAATACTTTCAATAAAATTGATTTTAAACAATAAGAAAATATGCCATAAATCAAACACTAATCAACAAAAAGAGCAGAGTATGGGGTGGGGAGGGGGCAGAAGGGCATAGTACAGCTTAGTAGAAAGCATGACTGTCCCAGCAAACCCAGGACAGTTGGCATGTATGAGGTAATGAAAGATTATCATGGGGCTCCCATGCACCTGGGGCCCCTGGGCGCTGCCCATGCATTAAGACAGCCCTGGAGGAGCAAACTCATCCGGTAAGGGAGCTGGGCAGGTAAGAGGAAGCCCATGTCATTGTATTATTATAGAGAAAGACAGGCTTTAAGCAGATCGTGTAGTGTGAGCTCAGCCAAGGGAATGTCATGACTTATTACAGTGCCATGTGTGATTGGTGGGCTACACTAACACATAGGTTGTCAGTGCTTAATATAAGGGAAATGTCTGTAGCACACATACTATGTGCTATATTATTAACATACCAATAATAATATAACACACAAGTTGACAAGAGCAATAATGATTTGCAGTATCCTGTAGCAACCAATCAGTTAGCAATAATGATGTGCTGTAACCTCTAGCAACCAATCATTGAGAGGTAATGATGTGCTGTAACCTCCAGCAACCAAATACTGAGCAGTAATGATAAACAGTAACGTCTAGCAACCAGTCAGAGAGCAGAAACGTGATGTCGGTGCTTAATGGTAGCTGCCTGTGAAAACCTGGCAGAGGAAGACAAAAAACAGAATCTGTTACGCGATGCCATAACCATACTCTGTTTTCTAGGTTTTTCAGTCTGGTGTCGGCCTCCAGAGATGGACTGTGACACAGGCAGGAACTTATTCTGCTTGAGTGATCCTCCCACTGCAGTATGTCACCTCTCACAGTCACTCAGTGGAGATGCCAGTGCACAGTAGAGGATTTGCATACTTTCAAATGATTGATAAATTACATTGACTTAAGCAGGCTAAATATAACTAAAATACATTGAGAATCCAGTGGTTGTCATTATTCGTAATGTGGTTTAAAAAAAAATGGTCTGCTCAATCTAAAATACCTGGGCCTTTTTTTTTGTCCCAGTCAGGGCCTGAGAAGAACATAACAATTCAGATATGGAAGTTTTCTTGTGACTTTAGATGTGAACTTTTAAGAGACCGTGGACTGTGCCATAAGTACTGGTTTTTAATGCAATAATGATTTGACCTGCCCAGGGGGGTAGTTTATTTCCAGCAGCTGGGAATTTCCTTTGTAGATCCTCAGGCACTCTGTAATTGCTTTTTGATTTACTAAAGGCAAATTATTATTATTATACAGGATTTAGATAGCACCAACAGTTTGCGCAGCGTTTTACAAGAGGGAAGACAGTACAGTTACAATACAATTCCATTCAGGAGGAATCAGAGGGTGAGCTGAGGTGTACAGAGAGAGATGCGGGTGTCATCAGCATAGAAATGGTATTGGAAGCCAATAGACTGTGTAAATTTGTGAAGATTGAACTTTTATGTCACTGTATGGTCACTCTTCACTCTGTTTATTAGACAAAGAACTTTATAAGCTTAAAAATTGATTTTTATTGATTTATTTTATTGAATAAGGACACTTATATGCACACATTCATGTATTTGTACATAATATTTTTCTAGCGCTGCAGTATATTATTTGATTGGTTATATTATTGTTTAACTGTGAGTGATACACAAAAGTGTGCTGGCGTACTATTTATGTGGGCTTTTTGCCTTTAGTAAATCAAATGTCTCCTATGATAGTAGTAAAACGTTTGATGCAGGTGATGCACTAAAGACAATTAACTTACTAAAGAGGTAGAGAAATTTCAATTTGCAATGCTTTGTGAACTAGTGAATATATACATACGTACTGTATTTAAATTCTACTATTATATACACTGATATGAACCAGAATATTTAAGCAACATTTTCTTCAAAAATAAAATAAACCCATCCTTTACTTGGACAAGGCCATGTTTGTTATATCTATTTCTTTCCAATTATCTGTTGGGGATTACAGATGCTTATGTTTCTAATTATGAGCAAAGAAGTTTTAAATGAATTTTCCTTGATCATATTAATGTATTGGTGGGGTCACACATTCTTGCAAATGTGTACTAAATCCATTAATCTTTCTCTGCCTTTTAGACACACATTGATTACAGCAAGAATAACTATGTTTTTACAGCTCTAGCATATGTCATATTAAACAGATCTGTTTCCGTAGACAGTGTTGCAATGCAAGGCAAAACACATAAAACACAGTATTGATGATGCATATCCATGGGTGACACAGTCAGAAGGTGAAATACTTAGTCATTAGTGCAACCAGTGCCAGATTAAACCCTATGGGGGCCACTAGGCAGTCAAAACCTTGGGCCCACCTTGCAGGTTTCTGGAGGTTTCTCATGCACGTGCTCTAGTGGGATAACTTTGAATTAAAGTGGTTGTAAAGGCTGTGTGCAGCGGCCCCCCAGTCCCTCCAATCCTTACCTGAACCCCCTCTGATCCAGTGACATTCTTGACACACCTGTGCTGTAGGGGATAGGGGGTGGACCATGGGTGATTAAATTAGTAGAAGGTCCATCTGAAAATATCATCCAAGTCCATCTTTAATGGAAGGCTTGTGGGCATGTGGGCTTGTAGGAGGAGGAGGCAGCCGGCTGTAAGAGCTTGTAGATACTCCTATATGATAAAATGAGGAATGGAGGTCCGCGTAGAGCAGAATGTCCTAAGAGGCACTCTGAGTGTATCCCTGCCGCTCCGGTGGTGTCCAGAGCCTGACGCGCATGCTCCAAACACGCCGTTTTGGAAATCTGGTCCGTGCTGTGTGACTCCACCCGAGTGAGCCTCCCTGTGCCTCTCTGCTACTCCCCGAGGCCTGGACACCACCGGAGCAGCGGGGATACACCCAGAGTGCCGCTTAGGATATTCTGCTCTACCAGACCTCCATTCTTCATGACATGCTTATTACTATCTACTCTTGTGAGTGTATTTTATCATTAAATGTACCTGTTTTTAAAACCTTCTACACATAGAGTGGCGCCGCTGTCTCTCTTCTCTACCTGTTAGTGCCAGATAGCCCACCACACTATCACAGTCACAATATAAGTTGCTGATCACTGCCATTACAAGCATAGCATCTAAATCTTTCATAAATTCCAGTGTATAAACCATAGTATGTAGATGCTATAACTTTTACACAAACTAATTAACCACTTGCCCTCCAGAGGATTTACCTCTCCTTCCTGACCAGGCCATTTTTTGCTATATGGCGCTGCGTTAGTTTAACTGACAATTGTGCGGTTATGCAATGCTGCACCCAAATGAAATTTATGTTTTTTTTTCCCCACAAATAGAACTTTCTTTTGGTGGTATTTGATCACTTCTGTTTTTTATTTGTTGCGCTATAAACAAAAAAAGACTGACGAATTTGAAAAAAAAAAACAAACAATATTTTTGACTTTTTGCTATAAAACATATCCAGTAAAAAAAAATCACAAAATCTAATTTCTTCATAACTTTAGGCCAAAATGTACTCTGCTACATGTCTTTGCTAAAAAAAAATCCCAATAATTGTAAATTAAATTAAATTACTAGTGATGGCGGCGATCAGCAACCTACTGTGGGACTGCGGCGGGCATTCTGACACTGGGCGGGGGAATTGACTAACTGCCACTGTCCACCCAATGACACTAATACAGTGATCAGTGCTAATAAAAAGCACTGACAATGTATAAATGACACTGTGCAGGAAGGGGTTAACATCTGGGGAGATCAAGGGGTTAACTGTGTGCTGTGTGTGTTTCACATTATGTGTTGTGTGCTGTTTTACAACGGAGACATTCTGCTTTGTATTTCTTTGCTGTGAGGAGAAATACAAAACAGCATACCCTTGCTGGCAGGAAAGAGACCTGTGTTGTTCACACAGGTCTCTCCCCTGTCAGCTTTACACGGTGAATCTCCGGCCAGGACCTAGTGATTGACATCCCTAGCCACGAATGGTGGCGCGGCTAGGGTGGCAAGCACGTGCTCCCTACACGGAAATGCAGTTCACATATATATGTGACTTTGCGCAGCCCTGCTGCCCTGCAGCAGAATTTCTGCTATAGGGCGGGGGGGAAGAGGTTAATATATGCTCATTGGGATGTTTGTGACCCCCCCCCCCCCCCCCCCCCCCCCCCCCATTTTTTTAACCAGATATCAATAGAATACATTTTGGCCTATATTTATGAATAAATGTGATTTTATATAATAAAAAAGTGGTGATCAAATAATACCAAAGGAAAACCCTGTATGTGTCAAAACAATTATATAAATTTCATTTGAGTACAGTGTTGCATGACCAAAAAATTGCCTGTTAAAGTAGCACAGTACTGAATAAAAAAAAATGGCCTGGTCATGAAGGGGGTACAACCTTCCAGAGGTCAAGTGGTTAAACTGACAAAACATTCACCTGTCACTTACTTGTAAATACAGGAGAAGAAAGTAAACCCTTCCTCTTAGATTGTAAGCTCTAATGAGCAGGAAAGGAAATATGACCTGTAAGGAAATATGTCTTATTAACTAGCTGCCGACCGCAGATAGCCGAATGACGGCTGCACTGCGGCCGGCCAGTTCTGAGTGGACGTCATATGACGTCCTCCCAGAACGCACTCTCCTGTGCGCCCCAGGGGGCGCGCACCCGGCGATCTCCGTGATCGCTGTGTCCTACGGACACAGCTGATCACGTGATGTGGTAAAAGGCCAATCACAGCAGCCTTTTACCACGTGATCAGTGGTGTCCAATGACAAGCTGATCAGAGGGAAATGCAAGTGCCGGTTCTCGGCTGCACTTTCCTCACGCTGTCAGATCGTGAGGAAAGTACTGCCGAGAACCGGCAGTTGTCAGAGCGGGGATCGGCACCGATCATCAGGGCACTGATCATCAGTGCCCTGATGATCGGTGCCCAGCAGTGCCACCCGCAAGTTCCGCCCACCTGTGCCCAGCAGTGCGCCCACTAGCTCCGCCCACCTGTGCCCAGCAGATCACCTACCTGTGCCCAGCAGTGCACCCACCTGTGCCATTCTGCAGTGTCACACACCTGTGCCCAGAAGTGCCCACCCACCTGTGCCCAGCAGTGCCACCCACCTGTGCCCACCAGTGCCACCCACCTGTGCCCACCCACCAGTGCTGCCCACCAGTGCCACCCACCAGTGCAGCCCAGCAGTGCTGCCAGTCAGTGCCACCAGTCAGTGCCCAGGGGTTGTGCCAGTCAGTGCCGCCAGTCAGTGCCCAGCAGTGATGCCAGTCAGTGCCGTCTATCAGTACCCATCATCAGTGTCACCTATCAGTGCTGCATATTAGTGCCGCCTATCCGTGACACCTCATTAGTGCTGTCTATCAGTGCCGCCTATCCGTGCCACCTCACTAGTACTGCCTATCAGTGCCCTTTAGTGCTGCCTATCAGTGCCCATCAGTGCCGCCTATCAGTGCCCATCAGTGCTGCCTCATCAACGCACATCAGTGAAGGAGAAAAAATACCTGTTTGAAAAATGTTATAATAGAAACAAAGAAACTTTTTTTTTTTTTCAAATTTTTTGCACTTTTTTTTATTTATAGCGCAAAAAGTAAAGTGCCCAGTGGCGATTAAATACCACCAAAAGAAAGCTCTATTTGTGAGAAAAAAAATGATAAAAATTTCATATGGGTACAATGTTACATGACCGCGCAATTGTCAATCAAAGTGCGGCAGCGCTGAAAGCTGAAAATTGGCCCGGTAAATAAGGGGGTATAAGTGCCCGGTAGGCAAGTGGTTAAGTGGCATCCATTTTGTATAATGCCTCCATTTCTAGATGTGTGAACAGTTAGTTTCGGTTTTGTAACGTCTCTCTCGTTTTCTTAGACTAGTTTCATTTCTGAACTACCTTATATGGTATCCCTCAACTATTTGCAGTTTCTGTTCTTCACATAACTATATTGATAAGAATGGAATTCTTCATTGGTCATCCTGGGATTAAGCAACACCTACTGAGTTCTGTATAACTGTATAACTGTATAACTGTTCTTGTCATGCATTAAACTTTGAGAGATTTAGCTTGCACACTTCGGTGTTCAGAGCTTTATTTCTCCCAGGCCTGAGGGTGAAAATAACAAGGACCAGGGCTACAGAAATAGGTTGAATCCTTGAAGGCCCTCTATTTCCTCTTGTACAAAATTGTATTGTAACTGTAATATCTACCTTCATTTTGGAAAGCGCTGCGCAAACTGATGGCGCCATATAAATCCTGTATAATAATAATAATAATAAAGAATGGAAAATGGTGTTTTGATCAAACAGTAGTAGGAAGGAGTCTACAATGAACATGGTCAAAAGGCTTGCAATGTATTTAACTGACATAGAGAGCATTATTTTATCTCAACAAAAGTAGTGCTTAGCTTTAGGGCCGACAAGGTAACAGTCACAATGATTATGGAGACAGAGATGGGCAGAGGCATGTTCCTTTGTACCTTTGATAAAAGGTCAAAGACTTTGTTCATGAAACAGTAAATCACTTTTCTTTCTCTTTATGGAATTCAAGTGAACATAGTCCAATGAAAAAAAAACTCACTTTAGTTCGGCTAAACCCTCCCTTTTTACTGGAGCCCAGTACATCTTCAGTTGTAATTGTAATACTATTGCAAGGTCTAAAGACAGAAGAAGGTGGAATAGTCCGTGATGACGCCTTGGAGGAGGGGCGAACCGTGTTGATGCAATTTCCAGTTTTTGATCCACAATGTGTGATGTCACGCTGATACGGCGTTCCGTGGCCATCTTTGTTTGGGGAGGATAGTACAATCTCCCTACAGCTGCTAGTTCACTTCTTCCTATGTTGCTGTGATCATTGAATATGCCATTGGGAAGTGTTAAAGTGGATTTTCTGTTTGCGTAAAGAGTTTGATTTACCAAAAGGCTTGTTTTTATTCTCATAAATGTGAGTGCAATATGGGCATCAATTTTAATAAAAAAGATTTATACAGTATTACGCTATTGGTTCTCCCCCTTTCTCTTGCATCTGCCATCCGTCCATGAGCGAGATTTTGGAGGTCGCAAAAAAAGGATCGCTGGGGATCGTTTAGGAGGCTTTTCTGTCCATTTAAGCTGGTTTCAAATGTATCTAACTTGGCACTATATTTCAAATTTCAGTGTTTTTGGTTTGATTATATTATTGAATTAAATTTTTATTATTATTATATTATTATTTTTTATGATATTATTATTAAATTAGAATTTATGAATTTCGTGGTTCAAATTTTAACATACCCGGGATGTTTACTAGACTCTTGTTCGGACAGATTTTAGTGAGTTATTCCTAAAAATTACAGGCCTACAATAAAAAAAAACATATATCCATGCAAAAATATGTAACGCTTTGAGCACAGAAATACTGACATACTCAGACCGCTAGGGAGGTTAATTGTGGTTTATTTCTTTGGCGCAAGTTTTTTTAAATTTCTACTTTTATTTCTTTGTATGGAATTCAAGTGAACATAGTCCAATGAAAAAAACTCACTTTAGTTCGGCTAAATCCTGTCTTTTTACTGGAGCCCAGTACATCTTCAGTTTGGTTGTAATTGTAATTCTATTGCAAGGTCTAAAAACAGAAGCAGGTGGAATAGCCTACTGTATATGTAGTAGGCTAGGCTTTTAAAATGGATAACAGCTTCTCTTTCTTTTTTGTTTTTTTGCTAAATGTGGTAATTGTAGGTGTTACTTAACTGCAGCAGAGGAAAATCAGGTACTCTGCCTTGCCAGAAAAGCCTGTGCTAATGTCAGAGCTGCATAAATCTCACGACTGGATAAAAATACAAATCCTTTGGCAGGTACAATAGCTCTCATTCATACATTTTGTCATGCATTTAGATGTTTACCTGGAGTTCCACTTAAAAGTACTACCTTGTGAATTACAGGCTCAAGACAAAACATTGAACTGGTGAACTTGCACCTGATCTGTGCATATTTGTTCCAGGTCAGTAACTCAGCAAGATGTCAAGGAAGGATAAAGATGACAGATCACCTCAAAATAAAACTCAGCAATGACAGCTCTTTCTATCCTGAAAGGTTATTTTTAAAACACATATTTGTACAAATGTTCTTTACACAAGTGTAGAAATTAGCTGTACAGTGACCTATCAGTCTTTTGTTTCCTTGAAAAGAAATATGATTAGTCACCGTGGCCAATGCTTTGTAGAGAACTTTTTTTTCACTTTTTATATTATTTTTATTATCACTTTGATTATATTATTATGGTATAGTGATGATTTATTAGACACACTGAAGCAAGGATTATTGTGGCCAACAACTATACTGTAAGTGATGATTGGAGATCTGATTGCCACCCAAAAGGGCAGCTTTACAAATAGACTAAGTTCTAAGGTTACTGATACTTGAGGGTATTCTAGGGCATTGCCCATCAAATAGGTTTCTTGCACATGGGTGAAAAAAAAAAGTTTTTTACTGATCTTGTCTAAGGTGGAACATGTTTTTTTGATTCACATTAGAGAAGTTTAAAGAAGAAGTATTGCTTTATGGACACAATGTTTGCACTTTATAATTTTTTATTTAAATTATGGACACTTTTTCACATATATATTTTTTATTGAATTTTTATTAATTTGTGTAACATATTTATTTACAATATCTGGCATATTATTTATTCACGATACATATTTCACCTGTTAGGAGATATAAAAATTTGAAGAGCTCTGCTCTCTTTTTTTGTCTTTGCATTTATACCCTGTTTATACGGGTGATATTGTTATTATTATACAGGATTAATATAGCGCCAACAGTTTGCGCAGCGCTTTACAAAATGAAGGTAGATATTACAGTTACAAATACAATTTGGTACAAGAGGAAACAGAAACTGCTCATTAGAGCTTACAATCTAGGAGATAGCTGCTCTTCTTTATATACATATGTCTTGCTTTATAGCTATAGATATATATTTTTTTTCTTTGGTGTACTATTGGTCCAGAGGCGCTGTCCCCACCTGTTATTCATCATGTTTAAGGTGGAATAATGCACACAGCTGTTTAAAGATCAGTATACAGGAGTGACTTTAGAGCCATAAAAGAAAAATAGAAAATTGTACATTTGAGTGCAGTAATTTGCACATATATACGCACGTACAGTATATTACAACACTGGCAACTAGAAGAGGATAAAGAAGGATTTTATGCATATATATGCATACGAAGGTTTTCACACCTTTATGTGTGTATACGCAAGGTCTTTCCAGAACATTTCCAGAACATTTTACTTAAGATCTCTCTGCCAGCAAGACTCTCTCCATATAAACATCAGTAAATTATGTATGTATGTCTGTATGCTAAAGGCCTTAAGCTGGCCATACATTATACAATTTTCTTGTTCAATTTCCTTTAGATTTATCTTCAACTATGTAGTGCAAGGACCTGCATGATTGCATACAAATTGAAAGTGTTTAAGTTTGACCTCATACTATATGGTTTTGGTAAATCTAAAGCAAAATTGTACAAGAAAATTATAAAATGTATGGCCAGCCTTAGGCACACATGGGGGTTGATTTACTAAAACTAGAGAGTGCAAAATGTGGTGCAGCTCAGCATAGAAACCAATCAGCTTCCATTTTTTTGTCAAATCTTAATTGAATAAGCTGAAGTTAGAAGCTGACTGGCTACTATGCACAGCTGCACCAGATGTTTCACTCTCTAGTTTTAATAAATCAACCCCTAGGTCCTGCTATACACCTTAATGTAGCACTTCACCCTCTTACTCATTTTCTCTTCTCTGCACTCTTCCTCCCCTCCTTTTTTTGGGCTTTTTTCTTCTGACAACCCCCCCTACCCCTACCCTCCCTGTACACATCATTTGCCCAAGCAAATAAAGTGCACTTTGCCCGTTGTGCCTGGCGGGTTCTGAACGTCCCATATCCCAGGAGGAGGGGGGGGCAGGCCTAGCAGTGAATCATTGTGAGAGCCACCAGCTGAACCTGGAATAGCTGAAGGCTTCCTGATGACGTCATGCATGAAGATTGCAGCGCAGGACTGTGCATGAGGCAGAAGGGAGGGGGATCTCAGTAGGACACCGCTGGATCCGGTGGGCAGGTGAGTATCTTATCTGTGCAGGACCTGCAACCAGGTAAGCAGGGGATAAGAAAAAAAAATGCGTGGGGGGGAGGGGGTGAAAGACCGCTTTAATTGGTGCACTGAACCTGTTGAGTATACCATGGGCTGGTATACGTACAGGCAGATTATTTTTCCAAAAGCCCTGTGCATTCCCATAATTCCCAACAATCCACTTGTCT